AACTCTATGGGGCAGTTCTACCCTGTCCTGTAGGGTCACTATGAGTTGGAACTGACTCGATGGCAGCTAACAACAACAACAAAAATCACTGAATTGTACACTTCGAACGGTTGTATGGAGTTTATGGTACATAAATCATACTTCACTAAAGCTTTTTTAAAGGCAATTATACTTCCATCCACATTGTATGAAAGTGTTGGAGTGTTCGTACTCAACACTGGGCAGTGATGCTTTCAATTTTTGCCAATCAGATTGGTTAAAAAAAAAGTCACTTCTCATTAGTTTTAATAATACATATTACTTTGATTTCCAGTTGAACATTTTTTGCATGGCTTGTCTATTTGATACATTTTTTAAATTTTCTCATAAGGATATATATCTTTTTCATTAGGGTATGTGAGAGCTCTTTATCTTTTTAAAACAGCAAACCTTTTTCAGTGATATATGGTACAAATACTTTTTCCCAGTTTTTCAAAAGCTTCTAAATTTTGTTAATAGTGGATTTTTTTTTGCCATGTTGAAAACATCCATTTTCATGTAGTCAAATTTATCTGTATTTTCATTTAGTTTCTATCATTGCTGTTATGACAAGTGATATCTTTTGAAAGATTAATCAGAACACTTGAGCGTTCTTAGTCAAGCATCCTGTGCCAAGCACAACTCTATTGGGCCTTTACATTTTAAGATAACAGATAAAAACCTAATTTCAAAGTAGAAGAAGACAGTCATTTCTTCCTTAAACCTTTATTAAGCATAAAGAGATACTGCTGTTTATATCCCAAATTCATGGAAAATTGCCTCGTTAGAGAATTTCTGATGTGATACACTAGATATTTCCAACAGTTCTAGTGATGAGGAACTGGAAAAATTAAAAGAAGGATGTGAAAATGTGTTTGTTCTTTCTAATTAACCCAGAACAGTGATTCTAGGCCTCACTGGCTGATGCCCCTTTGTAGAACATCAGATCACTATATAACGAGGTGACCACTGCAAGCATTCGTGGGCGTCTGACCAGAACGGTCTAGAACTCAGTCACTCATTGTCCCACCACCACCTCAGTCCATGAATGTTATCATTTTCCCTGCTATTCTACTCATTATCAATGGGTGGTGACCTACCATCCACTAGGTAATAAATACAGGAAATTCTCCTTTATTTAAATCTCACAAACTCAGAAAGAGATTAATAGGAATTGAAGAATTCCCACTGTCAACTGCTGTACTGCTTCAAAAAACACTACAGCAGTTAAAAACAAACAAGAAAACATTTGGTTTAATGTACCTATGATTATCACACACAAACATCTAGACAAAATTCACAAAGATAGGATCAGGAAATGTCACAAGAGCATTTTATATTAATATATAAAATGGATGATATTATGGCCTTAAAGTTGTATAACTGAGGCCTGGTCATAAGATACAATCTGAAGAGGCATTCAAATGCTTGATAACAGAAAGAGTCTACATCTCTTTCTCTCTCTGTATATTGAAGTCCTACCCACATTTTTCAGGTCCCTGAGTGGACCAAATGGTTAAGTGCTTGACTACTAGCTGAAAGGTTGGAGGTTTGAACTCACCCAGAGGCACCACAGAAGAGAGGCCGGTGAATCTGCTTCCAAAAAGTCGAAGCCTTGAAAACCCTATGCAGCAGTTTTACTCTGCACACACGGGGTCTCCATGAATCAGAATCAACTTGATGGCAACTAACAACAATAATCCACACTTTTAGGATAAGTACAAATTCAACCTTCTTTCCTTATCTATCCGAGCGTATAAAAAAATCTGTTCCTGTAGAGTTGATTCCGACTCATGGCAACCCCATGTGTTACATAGTAGAACTGCCCCACAGGGTTTTCTTGGCTGTAATCTTAAGGGAAGCAGATTGCCAGGCCTTTCTTCTGCAGTACTGCTGGGTGGGTTTGAACCACCAACCTTTCAGTTAGCAGCACGAACCATTTGTACTACTTAGGAACCTCATTCTACAGTATAGATAAGGAAAATATAAAATTTTAGAATCTATACTACACATTCTGGAACATATATACAGCTGTAATATTATCTACTTGTTTTGTATCACCTCTTTGAATTATATATAAGTTCCATGAGAGCAGTAAATTAAATAGAAACTCCATGAGAGCAAGCTGTGTATCCCTACAACATTAAAATAGTGCTAGGACTCCAGATGTTTTTATTGATTTTATTAGTACTGCTTCTTGCTCTGCAGAACGACCCACTCAGACACTTATGAAGTAACTGTTCCTGATTTCCACAAAAAGATGGAAAAAAGGGCTAAGATGGCAAAAAATATCATGGGGCACTTTTAAAGCTTATTAAAATGTAGACTGAGCAGTTCTTTAGTCATGCAAAATATTGTGGAGTAGTATGTAAATGTTTCGGCAGTTACCCCAGCATCACTTATCTTGAAGAGCTATCTGTAGTAGATTGTCTCAGGTTCTTTTCTTTGCAATATAGTCAGGCTTTACATAATAACAGTGGTTTCCAATGTCATTTGAGTGAACTCAAGGATTCCATTAGGAATCTTTAAGGCTTGACTGAAAAATGGGATGGCCATGACAGCCATGTTTAATTCGTGGCTGTTCTTGCTCAGGTATCAACCCAGACTTTGGGCTCCAGGTATAAATGAAAAGCCTTCCTATCAATCATGGAGATTTTTCACATCTGAAGAACACTCTGATGTCCTGAGGGATGACACACAGGTGCTGGTACACAGATTTGCTTCTAGGCCCAGGATGCTTGGCTAGCTTATTCACGGGGACTCCCTGCCGTCTGGGGAAATGAAACCATAATTAAAAGCCAGTTCCTCTACTGTCTCTTTCTGTCTCAAGACAGTGGTGGGCAGTGGCGGAAATTAAGAGTAATCGCTTCACGAACTCTGGCCCTTGAACATCTACAAGGAAGACTGGTTCTACCACTTCATGGACCATTATATATAAAGAGTGCACATTTAACCTACTGTTTATCTAAACTTTTGTTAATAACTCCCAGGAAAGGAGACAGCACCCACTCACTTACTCTGTAACCTATTTCTTGATGATGAGGTCCTTTGACTTTACTAGCCATTAACCCTCAGATAAAATACTGAAAATGATGGCATTATTTTAATATCCTTATTCTAGTACACTTCTTTCATGAAAATTGAGTTTAAATAACTAATTTAAAGTATTAGTACTCTTAATATGCCAGCCATCTTAGGCTGAGAGTCTCTTGGAATTTCCTAAATTCCTCTTGACCCACCCACTACTAAACGGAGAATGAATAAATAATGGTGGAAAGCAAGGCCTTTGGGATCTATGCATCTGATTAAATACTTGCTAGTAATATTTGTTGAGATATTGGGCTATTCATGTCTCTAAGTCCCAGTTCAATGGTGATAACCTCTCAAGGTATCCTGACAATTAAATGAGATATTGCAAGTCAAACCCTTTGCACGGCACATAGCATGTGCACAATAAATTATATTAAAAAAAAAAAAAGTTGCCCTCCAGTCGATTCTGACTCATGGTGACCCCCTCACGTGTACAAGAGTAAAACTTTGTTCCATAAGGTTTTCTGTGGCTGATTTTTCAGGAGTAGATTGCCAGGCATCCCCCCACACCCAACCCCCCATGCCTCACCCCCACCTCCACCCTGCCAGGTGCCTCTGGGTGAGTTCAAACTGCCAACCTTTAGATTAGTAGTTGAACGCTTAACTGTTTGTGCCACCCAGGGAACCATAAACTATAAGATTTTTTAAAAACTCTTCCAATTATTATCCTTTTAAGAAAGTGGAGTAGGAGACAAGTTTCCACTAAATTCTTAGTAATGACAGATAAATAGGCAAATCTGGATTTTTAAAACTTAAGCATTTTCTAATAATGCATTCTACTCACACACACAAATCAGTCCAGACTTTAGCTGATAAAGCAGGATATTACTTGTAAGCATGCTTCAAATTTAATACCCAGACTGACTGACATTGTTGGAAACACTGGGGCAGGCGGTGGGAGGGTGCAAAACATTTCCTCAGGAACCAGCCGCCACACACTGCTTTTCTCGGAGAGGAGTGCCTCCTTCCCTCCCTTCCCTGGGACAATGACAAGTCGCAGCCAACCCCAAGGGAGGAATATGTCCCCGTGCGTGGTACTTGGTGTGCCGGGCCCGCGCGCAAGAGAACAGTGTGCAAGGGACGGAAGACAAGACTAAAATGATCCCAGTCCCCTAAACGCGCGGAAGGGCGCGGGAGCGCGCGGACCCCGCCTTCCCGACACGAGTGTGGATTCAAGCCGCCGGGGTGGGAGCTGGCGGCCCCTGCTTCTGGAGCTGCGGGCGGCGTCCCGACTTCCATGTTGCCAACTCCTCCGCTCCCGCTGCGAACGGCGGGCAGGTCCCGGCTGCCCGGGCCCCGCCTGCGCTGTCCACAGCCCTGATTGACACTGGAGTTGGTACATACGGGTCTGCCGCGGAGGCGAGCAGGAGGGTGAGCGGTGTTTTAAACATGGCCTTCCCTCTCTCCCCTAGCCTCAGAGCCATAGCGGCGCACCCAGCCGTGGGCACAGCCCACATGGGAATAACACCAACATCTGCCCGACTTATTTTTTTCCCCCGATCTCCCTATGCTTTTACTTGTTTTCGTTCCCCTCGCTGTTTTCCCTCTACTTATCACAACCTAGCAGTTTGCAAAGAGGAACTCCCCTCCCAGAAGGGGGAAGGAAAGCCGCTTTTGCTTCTTGTTGTGGGAGGTGGTAACCATTCCAGCGAGAATGAGTTCATAAAGAAGGGAAGCCGCGTCGCTGGAAAGTAACATTTAGAGATCCAGGAGGACGGTGGGGAGGGAGGTAGAAATGCCTGCAACAGGCGTCTGAAAACAAGCGTGGAGAAGCAAAGAGGTTCGCAATGTCGGATTTACTACCACGCGCATTCCGCGCAATCCACTGCAATGACAGGATTTGCTGTAAGGGCAATTTGAAGGCCTTTGAAATCTTTTTCGGCAAGTCTTACCTTTCTCTTCGGCATAATGGCTGTGTTCGTGCAGCAAAAAGTAAAGCAACGCGCCGGAACTGCTGCTGCCACCGCTGGATGCTGCCACCACCGCCGCAGCTGCTCACGCGCAGGGCACGGCGTAGCCCGGCCTCTCCGACCCGCACCTCCTCGGCTCCCTCCAGGGCCCTCCACTCGCTTGCCTCCCCGCTCCTCCAATAAGGAGCTCCGCCAGCCGGCAGCGAGGCCCCATTGGCTGCGGAAACGCTCTAAATTCCACGAGGACACTCCCACCTCCGCGCGCCCTGTACGCGCTGTTGTAGTTTCCACTTCACTGAAGAATCTGCCCGGCGACTGAGCATGCCCGGTTCAACTAGTAACCCCAAGGCCACACAAACCTGGAGTTTCATTGTTTTGCTGCTGCCCCTCTGGATTGTGTAGGTGAGAACAACGTGGGCCTTCAGAGGGAGGAAAAAGATTAAGGATGAACACATTAACTTTATAATGTAAAAGTGTACACTGAAGCAATTTGTACGTGTGCTACCCATAAAGGCTTGTAATAAATGTTATGTGATGTAGGCCTGTAAGGGGTGGGAAGGTACCTAGTTTTCTATAGAAGAGTCTGGCAATTTCAAAGGGTTTTCGTTTCCTCCTCTATGTATCTAGTGACTATCGTCTCTAAAATTACTTAGCTCTAATTTTCTAAAATCTGTCATTACAAGTCACTCTAATTCAGCCAGCTTCAAGCTAGACGTTAAGATGGATATGAACATGAATAAGATACGTTTGTTAGGGAATTTAGGGGGAAAAAAAGAACAGCTTATTTTGTATTTCAAAGATATTTAAATGACAGCCATCATGCCACATTTTATGCCTAATTTGTTTCTCAAAGTTCTGCAAGGCATTTTAATAGTCATGACAGAAACACTTCCCAATTATTTTAAGGGACAGTTTTACTCTGATACTAAAACCAAAGACCTCAAAAGAAAAAAGAACTGCAGACAAATATCCCTCATAAACATAGAAGTGAAATTCCTGAACAAAACTTAAGTAAATCAAACCCAACAACGTGTAAGAAGAAGAATACATCAAGACCAAGTGGAATGCAAAGTGGTTTAAAATCTGCAAATCAATCAATGTAGTTCACCAGATTAATAGACTACAAGAGAAAACCGGTATGAGCATTTCAGTAGATTCAAGAAAAGCGCTGGTGAATGGATAAACAAATTGTGGTAAACCAATGCAATGGAATACTACTCAACAATAAAAAGGAACAAAATGTTAGTATGTGCAACAGCATGGATTAATATCAGAAATAAAACACTGCATCAAAGAAGTCAAATATGAAAGACCGTACTGAATAATTTCATTTACATGAAATTATAGAAAAAGCAAAACCAGGCAAAGTTAGTTTCAGAATCATCTTTGAAGGCTAAATTCACATCATAGAAAATGTACTGAAGCCTTGTTAGGTTCTTGCTAGGTGTAGTCAAGTTGGTTCCAACTCATAGCGATGAAATGCTGTCTGGTCCTGTGTCATCCTCACATTCATTATGGTTGAGCCCATTGTTGCAGCCACTGTGTCAGTCCATCTCATTGAAGGTCTTCCTCTTTTTTGCTGACCCTCTACTTTACTAAGCATGATGTCCTTCTCCAGGGACTGGTCCCTCCTGATAACATGTCCAAAGTAAGTGAGCTGAAGTCTCGCCATCCTTGCCTCTAAGGAGCACTCTGGCTGTACTTCTTCCAAGACAGATTTGTTCTTTCTTCTGGCAGTCCGTGGTATATCAGTATTCTTTGCCAACACCATAACTGAAAGGCATCAGTTCTTCTTCTGTCTTCCCTGATTTATTTCCAGCTTTTACATACATTGAGGTGACTGAAAATACAATGGCTCGGGTCAGGCACCCCTTAGTCCCTAAAGTGACATCTTTGTTTTTTAACACTTTAAAGTGGTCTTTTGCAGCACATTTGCCCAGTGCAATGCGTCGTTTGATTTCTTGACTGCTTCTTCCATGGGCATTGATTGTGGATCCAAGTAAAATGAAATCCTTGGCAACTTCAATATTTTCTCTGTTCATCATGATGTTGCTTGTTGGTTCAGTTGGGAGGATTTTTGTTTTCTTTATGTTGAGTTGTAATCCATACTGAAGGCTGTAGTCTTTGATCTTCATCAGTAAGTGCTTTAAGTCCTCTTCACTTTTCAGCAAGCAAGGTTTTGTCATCTGCATATTACAGGTTGTTAATTAGTCTTAAAACCAAAAAACGAAACCCGTTGCAGTCGAGTCAATTCCGACTCATAGTGTCTCTATAGACAGAGTAGAACTGTCCCCTAGGGTTTCCAAGGAGCCGCTGGTGGCTTCGAACTGCCGACCTTTCGGTTAGCAGCCGAGCTCTTTGGTCACACAGAGCCTCCAAATATTAATTAAACAAGATCACCAAGCAAATATTTTTAATGCCTGACTTTTTTCTTGGTTAATTTTCCAAATAATAAGTTGCTATTCTAGCAATCTCCAGAAGTGGTGAATGACTTTCGTTTTTGGAGCATCTTTATGAACTCATGGATTTTCATATATTTGGTGTATTTAAATCCATTCCATAAGATGATCAGATTGCCCCATCTTTAGCCAGTTAGAACCTTTTCAAGTTGGATTCTTTGTCTTTTTGGTGTGATCCCAATTGTCTTTGATAGATTCCTTGCTTTCAGGCATTCAATAGATCACAGTATACTAAAAAGACCAACTGAGACAGAACCAGTTCTTTGCTTTGAAGCTGGATAAAAAACATGGAGGTTAGTAATTTGTCCATTAAAAATGATATTTATAATGAAGATATCTTGGAAGAGAGTTAATTTGCAAAGTGTTTAATGATTAAAAAAATTCCAGTCATGACATTTTTAATAAGATGTGTGAGAAGGATGCCGAGTAGCACTTGAATTCTGGATTGAATTGCTGTTTTTCTCTATGGAGAAGAAAAGATGTTACATCAGAGGTGGAGCTAAAGTGGCTTGTTCCTTTCCATGATGAAAAGTGATTCACAGAGTTGGCTTCTTTAGTTGATATTTTTCAAGGCTAAATAAACACTCTCAGTCAGCAACAGCAAACAAAATTGTGAATGTTTTTACTGCAAATGATAAAATGGCTGCAATGACAATGAAGCTTGCTAGTTGGATAAAGAAAATTGACTGTAGGGATGTTGAGTCATTCGAATTTCTTTGTTTATAAACGATGAAAATAATAGCTTTAATTGCATAATAAATGACAACATTGGTTATCCTTACTTTGAAGTGGATTGCACCTGATTGAGCAGGACACTAAGGAATGGAGCCTTCTCCCTTGTGCTTTCAGTAGCCTTCAAAGTCTGAGAAAATCAGACTTCCCCTGGCAGCCCTGAAGGTAAGTGGAGTAGGCAGGGAGAGTGATTTGGTGGGCAGATAGAATTCCAGGTTAGGAGATAAAGACACTTGAGCAGAAACGAGCACACCAAGTGCAGAACAGCGGGAGGCCAACCTGGTAAGAAGCAAAGACTCATTTGTTTATCAGTATATTCCACTGAGCATTTCTCCAGCTATTTACTTTGGTGCTTTGAAACACCAGCCTCAGAGACAGCAAAGGCTTCTCTACAGGAAGTGAACAGATAGATCAGGATGGACATTGGATAAATTCAGGGCACTACTGCCTGAGGAAGAAAGGAAGAAAAACTAGTGAACAAACTTCTCCAATTCCAGCATCAAAGGAAAGAAAGAAAAGGAAGGAAGGAAGAAAGAAGAAAGGGAAGGAAAGAAGTGAGGGAGGGAGAGATGAAGGGCAAAGGAAAGGAAAGGGCATAGAAAATAGAGTGCATTTCACATAGTAAATGTAAGTAGTGTTTTATAGAATGATTGTTTCCATTTTCTGTAGATGCACACACAAACACACACAAGCTTATTTGTGTGTGTTTGTTTTGAGTTTTAATGTGAAATGTATTTTACAGGATGGGTCTTGGTCCAAAAAATTTACAGCCGCTTCACAGCCCTAATGAATCTTGTTGATCTTTGGGGCTCTACCAATTTCTTCCCGTGGAACAAAGGTGCTTAATCATCAAATCTAAATTCTGAAAAAGGATCATGTCTTAGTCATCTAGTGCTGCTCCAACAGAAATACCACAAGTGGATGGTTTTAACAAAGAGAAATTTATTCTCTCACAGTCCAGTAGGCTACAAGTCCAAATTCAGGGCATCAGCTCCAGGGAACACTTCCTGTGTCGGCTCTGGAGGAAAGTCCATGCCATCAGTCTTCCTTTGGTCTGGGAGCTTCTCTTCGCAGGAACCTCAGGTCCAAAGGACACGCTCTGCTCCCAGCACTGCTTTCTTGGTGGTATGATGTTCCCACGTGTCTCCGCCTGTTTCTCTCTTATATCTCAAAAGAGATTGCATTAAGACATTAATCTTGTCGACCTGATCGGTAAAACCTCATCACAGTGATAGAATTTACAACACATAAGGAGATCACATATAATCTTATCATAGTGATAGAGTTTACAACACATAAGGAAATCACATCAGATGACACAATCATACAATACTGGGAATCATGACCCAGCCAAGCTGACAGATATTTTTGGGGGAACACAACTCAATCCATGACAGATCACTTGCAAATCACCTCCCTTTTCACCTGCCCCTGCTTTCTCTCTTTCATGCAGACACAGACAGACTCCTTCAGGCTTTTGCTCTAAGTAATAGAAAACTGCTGAGAGGTCTTATTTAGAATCCGTATATTGTTGCTTCTGATAACTCTGTAATTCTGGGTGAGTCACTGTTCTCAGTAAACAGGCCAAAGAATTCTAAGATGAATGAGTTCAGCAGCATAACAAAACAATATCAAAAACAACAAGCAAGAAGTAGCAAAAGGATAAATATTCTATTTTGTTTTCATTTTTATCAGTCAAGTGTCTTACTTGATTGCATGCTAACTTTTATAGAGACCATGTTTAGTTTTTACAAAGCAACTAGGACAATCCAAGAGCCACCTGTCCCAAATCACTTGAGCTGCCTGGTAATAATGCAAATTCCTAGACTCCACCTTCGGCCTGCTGAATCAGAATCTTGGTTGGGCCTGGGAACCTGCATTTTAGATAAGCTTCTTACTCTAGAATTTGAGAATTCCAAACCACACCTT